TGCTTTCTGCTGCTGCCTCGAAGTGCTTTTGCTCCCTGTTTTCCTGGCAGAAGCGTGTAACCCAGGTGAAGGCAGAGAAAGGAGGGTTGTTTTTATGAATGGGACTCTTTGAGGTTAATTAGCTATGCAAATGCAAGCAGTTCATTCATGGTTTTTTTTTTTTTTTTTTTTTTTCTAAAAGCCATCTTGTATTCCCCTCTAGGCTGATTGGAGTCCAGATCCCGAGGAAATCTCCAGATCAAATGCCCAGTAAATAAAACACTGAGCTAAGAATTGTGGAAGAGCTGCAGAATGGATGGATTTTATGACCAGCAAGTGCCTTACATGGTCACCAATGTGAGTGATCAGTTCAAAGTTGGTGTTTATAAACTTGACTCCGACTTATGTCTGTGGGGGAGTTTTGCAGACAAGAGTATCTGCTTTGTTACCGCTGTAGGGGCGACTCTTCATCTGGGAGCTTTGCCTGCAAGATGAGCTTATCTTCTCTAGTTATTTCAGTAAAGCATCATGTTCTTTTAAAGACAGTTTTGGGATGATTAAAAAATCATGCACATGATTAGCAGATGAGAGAGGCAAGAGCAGCAGCAGCTGCATTCAAAGTTTCTGGCTGCATTTGCCTGCAATGCTCAGAAGAATGAAGTTGAGGCAAACGTTAACGTTTTTTTTTCCTTTTTTTTTTTTCTTTCAGGACTTTGCAAACAATGTTATAAGTAACTCTGGGAAACAAAGCAGTGTATTATAATCTCATATCTGGGTTCTCCTGCGTAGCTTATGTAGAGGGATTTATGTGCTATTGTGTACGTTTGTGTACTTTAGATGCTAAAAATACATGGTTGGTATTGTGTTGCTGCTTGAACACATTATATATGTATCTGTACAAATAGATGTCTACATAGATAGATAGAAATGTGTTGCGTTTAGACACAGGAATCTTCTGGAGGATGTTAGGTGCTCAGCAATATCTTTTGCTAGAAATTGGAGGCAGGCTGCAAGACAATCATTTCCCGGTTTGAAAATGTGAAGAATTCATACTGGCTTTGAGTATTCTTGATTAAGTGAAGGGAAAAAAAAACAACCAACAAACCCCTCAGATTTCTGAAGTAACTGATCTTTCCTGTTTATAGAATCCACGTGGGAGAAACTGTAATGAGAGACCGACAAATGTCAGGAAAAGAAAATTCATTAACAGAGACCTGGCTCATGATTCAGAAGGTGAGGGCTTGTGTCCCGTCCCCCCGTCCCCCCCCCTACTTACTAATGCAGAGAAGCTTTTTGAGAGCTATTTATTTATTTATTTTGGCAATAAATACGTCTAGATCAATGTGAATAAACAAGACAAGAAAATTACATTTACGAATTGCCAAACAAACTGGCAAAGGCAGTAAACTGATAAAGTTGATATTCTTTCCTTGACTTACCCTGTTGCATTTTAGGTACTGCTGCACATGTGGCACATGGATGTCATGCACTGAGGCTAAGCCTTTGCAGCATCTGACACAAGTCATGGCACCTGGCTTTTTCACCTTCAGGCGTCTTGAGATTCAGGGCTTTCCTCATTCCTCCCATGTTTTAACATCCTTTTCACTGGTGTGTATTTTCTGGTGGTAGCAGGAGCGAGAATGCCACTGTGGAAGCTGTTGGTTTTCACTCTAGCTTTACTGTAGAGCTAGTAGTCAGGCTCCTGGTGTCTGGTAGCCCGTTTCTATTGCTGTGTGACACTGGTAGGGTTAAAAATCCTGGGAAATTTGGTTAAGGAAGTCTAGAGTGGACGAAGTTTTGGAGGGCCAAAGATTTGTAACTTAGTCCATCTGTAGCCACTGTCATGACTGTAGCTTGAGAACTGTAGTCTAGCAATAGCTGTTAACACTTCAGGTTACAAGGTCAATATAGATGCTATGCCCACACCCCTGTAAGTACATAGGACATATAGGAAGGTATACAGGTGCCTACAATTTACCCCTACATAAATCTTAGTAGGGTGAGGACACATTGATACACTTTTCAAAATCTCTACTTACTTGTTTAGAAAAGTTTATTCTAGGGTAGATTGAAAAGAAAACAACTTTCTGATTTTCAGTTAAATGATTCCCCAACATGAACATGAGGTATTAATCCACAGGATAAATTAATTAATAGCCTCTGTCATTTAAGTGTATGTAAATAGTTATGTGTAAACATTCATAAAAGAGGAAGTCTCTCTCAAAATAACAGTAAATTAAAAAAAATAAAATTGTCAGTTCAAATGTCCTACTTAGTGAACAAAATTTTCATAACGAGTTTCAGAGCTTTGCAAATAAGGTGAATGCTGTTCTGGTTTACACCCGTTATAAGCAATTGATTTCAGTGAATTGCAAAAAAAAACATAAGCTGCTGCAAAACTCTGTCCATGGAGAAAGTGGTTTCACTTTAAAGAAGTACAGTGAGTACAGCATAGAGGAGAGAGTGGTGATTCTCTTGTCATACAAAGTAAAGCATAAGGGGAAGTACAAAAGATTTCCCATTTCTGTTTGCTATTGCAGCATCTCAGGTCTTTGCTTCGAAATTTTTATGTGATGGTTACGACTCTGCTAATGAAAATACTCCGTCATTGCTCAGGCAGAACTCCTGTTGAAGTCTGAGAGCTTTATCTGGGGCAGGTATTGCAGGAGGAGGCCCGAATTGTATAAGGAAAAATAGTTCACCTGTAAGAGAGATTATAATTTTTAACTTTCCTATGTATTGCTGAATGAGCTTTTTATACTACAGAGCTTGGTTAGGATTCTGGTTATTATTTCAAGAGATGATATAATAATACAGTAAGTACTGCTTCTTTATTAATAGGTGTAGAAAAATCATTAATTGCAACCCAAAAATACCTACATTGCCTGTATGTTTGACTACCAAAATAGAATTCATGTACATTGTTTTTCAGGAAAAATATGGTTTTGAACATATTTTAATCTTAATGAAGAGGTTAAAGGTGTGAGCCTTTCATCCATGTCTTCATCTTTTTGCAGAACTCTTTCAAGATCTGAGCCAATTACAGGAGACATGGCTTGCAGAAGGTAAGGGAAAAAACTGCTTGTAAAAAGAGGAAAAACAACTCTGGAGGGGAGGCGGGGGGGAAAGTCCTGAACTTGCTGTCTTAATGTTCAGCCCAATTAATTGAGCTCTAAAAGAGCCACCTCATGTGTCATGCATACATTAGAGCCTCTGATGAGTTTGTCTTTGGGGACTCTGGGGCTGTTCTACCCAGTGTCATCACAAATTACCAGGAGAAATTGCTTCCAGCTCACAATCACATCTGCTTTTGGCAAGAACTAATGCAGCAAGACTTCAAGTTCTAAGCCTCTGTTCAGATTTTAATTGCAATTGATCAGGTTTATATTATTGTACCTCGAGAGACTACATACAGCCAGAACTGGGCTTGCTGTTTCCTTTAGAGCAGCACATATAATTATTTGGTGTTCTGGTGGAGTACTTTTCTGATGGCAGAAATTAGTTTCTCTGGGTTCATCGGGACGGGATGCTTCAAGATTTAAGTGCAAGTGTCTTCTTTCCACCTTGTTCACAGCACAGAACATTAGGTGTGTATGGAATACTTAAAAAGTACTATTTCTTTATTTTCTTTTTTTTTTTTCAGAAACCTGTAAATATTTTGCATGTTATTTTTGTCTTCATATTTGTAGTTGTGAGATTGTGTACTGGGTGATTAGAAAACTGACGTCGGTCTGTTTTACACTTGCTTGTGCTTTTAGGTATTTCAAATAATCTTGCAAAGTACTTTCTGCTGAAGAGAGGTTTAAGAACAATAATGTAGAAATCTGAATTTAGAGTAGCTGTTGAGAGATTCATTTAACAATAACAAAAAATGAGCTGCTGCATTGAGAGAACTTTAAAAAAATGCAGGGTAGCTTTCTGCTTGTTGAAGTGTATTTGTTCTCTTCAGCAATATTTTCCTTTGAAAAGAATTTTTTTTCCTTTGATATTTACAATACTGTTTAGTTGAAGCATAAAGATTTTTCTGCATTGCCTATTCTTAATATTTCTGGTTGAAATTTTTTTGTAAATATCTGCATTTGAAATAAACGTAATTTTGATGCAAGTTAACATAATCTCTCCAAATTTATTCAGACTTAGATGAATGTGAGTGTTCATATATGTTTAATTTTTGTCAGATACTGGACTATGCACTATTGTTTATAGAATAGATGTTCTGGTTTTTTGGAAAGGAGGGATATTGGGGTGAAATGCTTGCTGTTGATTTTCATAGAAAGAGGGAAATATTGCTGATCACTACTTGCTTAATACTGATGCTGTTTTAACAGCTTTATATGTAGTTAGTCAAGTTCTTAACCTATAAGTAAGTTGTCGGATATTGTTTATTTTGATGACATTTTTATTCTCCTAGCATGATTTTTAGCATGTGGTTATTCTGTAGAATCAAAAAGTCCTCTTTAAATTAATGAAACAGAGGATATATTTTTATGAATTAATATGATTCTTTCCTAATAATTGAAAACAGGATGTCCTGTAGTAAGATCATTTTTGTAGTGTAATGATCAGCTACAACTGTAACTGTCCCCCTCCGGTAATTTTCCTAAGGATCTCTTTATTTTGTATCATCTCATTCATCTAACAAGCCAGAAGTATGTTAAAATACTACTCAAAAGATACTATTTTTTACGGAGAGGAGAACTTTTATTTTGATTTTTTACGGGCATGGATATTTTTGTTTCTGAAAATGATTAAATTTCTTTGATCATAAGTCAGAAAAATACAGGTACCTTCATAATGCATGTGCAAGTAATGTAAGTTTGAAAAATAATATGGAATTTAAAACTGATTAAATAATTTCTGTAGGTACATAAATTACTGTAAGGGCAATTTTTATTCTGGAGGCACTGCTTGTTTTAGACTAGATTGAATTGTTTGAGAACCTTTTTTTCTCTTTAGCTGAGTCTATTTCACTGAATAAATTTAGGTAGGTTTTGAGAGAGAAAGGTGTCTAGTCCTGTGTCAGCTAGTTTGAGGAACCTTTGTAAAAGCAGATAGCATCATCTGGTAAGTATTTAAAAAAAAAAAGTTGCCTTTTTATCTAGCAGAGGATAATAAAGCTAAATAATGTTATAATTATCTTTTTCCATAGCATATTACAACTAAATATTACAGATGTGTAATATTTCAGTGTTCTAGAAATAATTTAAGAAATCTACGTTTCAGGCCATGCCATGGTTTTAGCTGTTCCATAAAACACAAACTTTGCACAGCTTTTCTAAAGGCTAAACTAAAACTGAAATAAAAAGTCAAGATGAGAAAATCAAATAATGAGCTATTAACTTGATCCCAAATTTTTAGTAAAAAAACCCACCCAAAACAACTTTTGGTAGCCTTTATAATATACTAATATTTGTGGATATTGTAGCTCTGCTCAAATGTCTACATGGATGAGCTTATCCAGGAAACAGATTTTGAAATCAGATTTGTTTACCCATTGCTAGATGTGTCCATTTATGTTCTTCTGGACCTTCATAGGCTAGAAGTCTGCCAATTTGGCAGCATCAGTAATGTTTACATATTTCTTTTCATAATGCTTTGGAGCCAGGGAAATGACCATGAAATTTTAAAACATCTTGACCCTTTTTAAGAAAAGCAGTGGCAGCTGACCAGGTTTCTCCCACGAGTTCAGATCCCCACTGGGGAGTAACCAGGTCAAAAATCTACTTAGGAGAAGAAAGTTGCATTTTTTGACACACACAAAAATGCTTGTGGATTTTTTTTTTTGTTTTGCTTTTCCTGAAGGTATCCTTGCTACATCACGTATTTTAGCCTAGAGATTTTTATAGTTAGTGTCACCTGTGATAAGTTGGTGGTAAACAAGTAAACAGAGAAGTAATGCATTCTTTTCTTATTGAAAATGGTGGGAGGTTCACATGTATTAAAGAATTAATCCAGAATGTAAACAATTTAGTAACCTCTTTAATATTTTATTACTCCTAATTAACAAGCTGAGTACTACTTACAGAAAACTTTCAAATGTATTCCACTGGCTGCATGCTAGATTTTTATGGAAATGAGTTTTGCTTCTTATTCTCTGTAGTATTAAAAATGTAAGAAAGAATTTAAATTATTTTGATGTACAACTTACTCTAAATAAGGTTCCCTCATGTGAATTGTTATGCAGGACAGAAGACGGATTGTAACTGTTACCTGATGCCAGAAATTGAAAGTGCGAAGCCTTTAATAATTGTTTTAGCCTTCAAACTTGAAAGGAAATAGTTAAAATTGCCTAGTGCTAACCAAGGCAAATACTATTCAGATACTATCTTTTCTTTTATATTTAAATAACTTGATGGCAACATTTTGTCATGATAATATTATAAAATGACTTTATTGATTCCATATATTTGGAATCGGATTAGTTTTGGCAGATAGCAATTGTTCAGTGACTTGAAAAAAATGGTTCAAATATAAATCTAATGTTATCTTGTCATGGTAGCTGTTACTTCTTATTCTGAAATAAGATGAAGAGAGAGAACAAATTCTGAGTGAGTGAGTGATTGTCTCCTTTCCATGGTGAAAGCATTTGGTTTGGAGGGAATAATACATTAACAAGAATCCAGATTTTTAGTTACAATTACTCTTTCAGATACTAGTTTCTCCTATAGCTTGTTAAAAATATGTGAAAGGCATCCCAAGCAGACAAATAATGAATTTGTGCACTAGATCTGCTTCATAGAGCAATAGATAATATGCTTCTTAGATGGTCATAAACTGAAAAATAAAATATAATGTTCTTTGGGTGACTTGAAAAAATACAAAAAGATTAAGTGAAAAGTAAGGGGTTCGAAATAATAGCTACAGGTAATGGGTTCATGCCTCTAGTGCAGCTTAGGTAAATTAAGTGGGTGGCTACTACAGGCTACCAGTATTTAAAAGCCAGTTCTTGGTATCTGAAAGTAAGTTATTTCTCTCAAATAATTAACACCCAAATTTGGAATGAACTTTAGGAAATAAGTTTCTGCCCTCTGTTCTTCTGCCGTGAAGGATGCACGAGCGTCACAGTGATGTCTAAGCAAGTATTGACTTCTAGTTTATTTCTTAAAATAAGAGGTATGAAAATAAGTGGTTTCTAGTTCTCAAAGGATTATTTTTAATAAAAGAAAGTACTAGATCTTCAAATATTAGTCTAGTTAGAGCGGCTTTGTTTAAATCGGTGAAGATGTGTAGCAGCTTAATCTGGCTAACTAGCGTGCTTCTGCCAAAAAGTTGTAAAATTTACCCAGTGTAAGGCAAATGCTATGTAGCCCCATTCAAGAACTATCCACATTTTTGTAGAAGCAAAAATAGTCAAGAAATGACAATTTAATACCTCCATGGCTGAAATCTGTCTGGTGAGGACAGACACTCTAAAAAGCAGTGAAAAGATTTTAATTTTGGAATTTGTAATACAGAGGATAGCTGCCGGGTTTTTTTTTATTTTATTTTAGTGATCTGACAAATTTGGCTTTCAGATACTCATAACTCTTGATCTTAAATATCTCTGCACAAAAAAAGGAGAAAAGTTAGATGAGGCAAAATGGGGGCAAGGATGAGGGTGTTCTTTTAGAAAGAAAGCCAAAAGAAATAAACCCACCAGAAATCTACAAGTCTGAAAGTCTGTGTAGCAATAAACTTTTTAACATTTTTCTTGTTTGCTGGAAAAGTAAATGGCTTTTGCTCAAAATGATAATTTTCAAAGGCATAGCGGGGTTTGTGAACCATGAGGGATGTAGCGAAATGTTAAATGCGAGTGTTCCTTTTAAGCTAACTTTTTTTCTCGTTTTTAGTGTAGCAGCAAATGAAGAGCAGATTCTGCAAACCCATCTTCATATTCCTAGAGATTATTCACATAAGGAAGAATTTTGAGATCTGGAGCTAGTTTTGAACTGCATTTAAGTTTATTAGAGCATCTCACATTATGTAAAAAGGGGTTTGGGTTGTTTTGACAGCAAATCCAGTGCTTATGGGAAATAATACTTTTTACCATCTTGAAATTTGGCACTGTTTTGCCTTCTGAATTGCTCCTTTGTTAGAAACAGTTGTTCCCGTGGAAAAAAAAAAAAACAAAACAAAACAAAACACCACCAACACCCCCCTCCCAGCGCTTTCAGGAATACTTGCAATTTATACAATCTTTCAGATATTCAAAAGTGACAATGAATCAAAGTAAACTCAATAGACTCATTATTGTTGAGGACTTAAGTCTTATTTTAGCTGAAGCCAAAATACTACTGTTCATACATAATTTCCTGTCAATTTCTTTTGCCACTTTGAATAAATGATTGATATTTTAAATCGAATTGCTCTGAGCTCTGAAAGTGAAGTGTGAAGTCAGAGAACACAGTACTGCAGGAAGTGTTCTGCTACCCAAAATAAAGTTTTAAGTGAAGCAAGGAGGTTTGCTTCTTGTTTTTCTGGAAAGTTTCCGATTTTTAACAGGAACACCTTTCCCGGGAGTGCAGCTGAGCCTTTGGAAGCAGTTTGTGATTGGGAGAAGGAAGAGTTAAATTTAAGCCCTTTATAGTTCGCTTAACTTTTCGTTTATTAAATAACTTTCCTCAGCAGGTCTGTGCTGCATCTTGAGACAAAGCAGTGAAATCAGTGTGTTTATGCCTAAAGTTCAAGTTTACTTTGCTGTAGCTTTCTGGAAGGGTGTGACATGAAAAGCTTGTGGTTGGGGCCACATGGTTCATGCTGGACTGTGTTTTTGTGAATGGAGGCAGAACTCCAGTTCTGACTGCTTGTCTTGAGGAATTGCTTCGGAGATCAGCTGTCTCATTCACTGGCAGAAAGAATGACTCATACATCTTCTGCCTTGTTTGGCTCCAGGTCATTGTTACAGTGGATAGAGCTGGTTTTAATTAAATATTAACTCCTTTTGTCCTGGATGCTTCTTAATGGGGACTTTTTGGTTTTGTTTACTTGCAATGAAAGCAAGCTAACAGGCCCTAGTTCTAAACTTTTCTTTTTCCAAATTGCTTTCCTTTTGCACAATGAGCAGCCAGTTCAGCTTTTCAAAGGCTTTTTAAAGCTCTAAAAACTACAAACAAGTATTAAGTATTTTTGTGTTGAGAATGTTTGCTTTTGGCAAACTGATTTTAACTCAGTAGGTAGTGAAAACTTAAAATCTAAACTGATAACATCCTCAAGATCATAATTAACTTTTCTATACACTTCCCAAATCCTCTTGAGACGTTATAGCCATAATCAGAAGAAAAACAAAACTTTTGGTAATAATTGAGGCTGAGCTGGATAGTTTATGCTGCAGATGTTGTCTGCTTCAGGAGTCTGAGACTTGATGGCCCTGAATGTGGAATGAACTAATGTAGCTGCTTCTGCTATTAGCAATAAAAGCCACGTGCTTAATATCCTTCAAAACCTTTTATTAGTCTTTTGGAATATACTT